AAGAGGGAAATGCTACTTGGTGTGATGTCTCTGCCTAAATAATCCTCGTATTCCCATCCCTGTTTCCACAGCTCTGAGAACCAATTCCTTACCCCCATACCCTCCCCTGGCACATTTCCAAAGAAACGCTAGTGGGACAGACCTTCCTTCAGATGTGCTTCTGGGTTTAGCACAGCCCACTGCTCCCTGGGGACCTAGCAGGGCTCTTTTCCTGGGGGGTTAAGTGGGAAGTCAGTTTGAGCAAAACCACACAGTGCAGGGGGTGCCTTTGATCCCCACCAGCTGTTCACCTGGGAGATTAATAGGCAACCATTGTTCCCCAACACTTGCAGCGTTCAGACTTGAGAACAGGCCACCAAGGCAAGTTCACAAACTCATTAACCCTTCTCACTCTTAGATCTGAGCTCTCACTTTCAGTATTTAACAAGGACCAGGAAAGACTATGAATTTCAACTAGGATCTAATGGCAAACTTTGAGATAAAATAATAGAATGATAAAGGAACTTTCATGCTATTGATACAGAATTTTGTGAACCGGCATTCATTACCAAAATAACACACCAGTCCTAGAAATGGCAGCCCACTCCAGTATTCTTGCCTGGAGAATCCCAGGGACAGAGGAGCCTGGTGGGCTGCCATGTATGGGGTTGCACAGAGTTGGACACGACTGAAGCGACTTAGCAGCAGCAGCAGCCAGTCTAAATGGTTATGTCTAAGTTATTTTCAAAATTCAAGAAGATCATTGACATTAAACTATAGTTATTATTTAAATGGCAAATGAAATTTCAGGCTATTAAAAGAGAAGGCCTCCTCTACTATTTTGAACAAATTTACCATTAAACAGTAGCCAGATTTTGAGGCTGCAGCCCAATGCCCCTGCTGGCCACTTCCAGCCCCTGCCCTCTTACAGGCTACCAACTGGTCCCATGAGGCTAATTATCCCTCCGGCAAATAACTTCAGCTCTCCCAAGTTCTGTCCGCCCCCAGCCTTGCTAAGCCAGCCAGCCTGCTTTCAGGCAAGCATGCTGTCATCTTGCACTGAGGTCCTCCTTCATTCTCAGTGACTCACTCAAAGTTTTTATAACTGTAGGTGCCAGCCATTCACAGTTACTAAAAGTGATTTCACCCTCCAGATTTTACTGAGGGTTTATGCTGTGGATTTTAACAGGGCTTTGCAGGAATATCCAAAGCCATCTTAGAAGCTGGTTGCCTACCCACATGGTGGAGACTATTGGTGTGAGCTCAGGAATAAAAGATGCAACTGTCCTAACCAGCTTCCTCCTCTGGGGCACAATGCCAACAATAAGGTTTCAAAGTACTCTAATCCTGTGTGTGTGTGTGTGTGTGTGTTCTGTTGTGTTGTGTGTTCTTTTGCTTTGCCTTTTTAAATATAATTGAGAGCCCTCCCAATCCTTGAGTAATAATCAGAAGGGAGAAAAGAGAGAAGGGAAAGAGCTGCCTCTAAATACTAGGAAATATTTCATCCTGTGACACTCCCATGGAGTACTGACACTAGATTACATGTAAATTGTGACCTCTCACCCTTCTGGGGATCCCACACAAGTCTTCTTCCCTTCAACCTCTCTACCTACATCTTAAAATCAATGCATAAGGGCCCTCTCCCTGTCTCCATGTGGAGAAGAATCGTCCTCATTGTGATCATTATGCCTGGGAACAAAAGACTGTATGCATCAAAGGTTTAGGGTCCTCAGCCTTGCCACGATCACATGACCACCCAGCTCAAAGGCAGCAACTGTCAACTGAAGTGCTGGTCGGAAGTTTCTGGCCTTTTATGGAGAGTCCCTGTGGTTACCTAGAAACAGTGCACTCACGTCATTTACATTGTTTTGCACTGTGCTGCTGACAGTCCTTTGGGAGATTCTGTATTTAGCCATTTCAAGTTGTGCCCTTAATGAAAGCATTCTTTTTTTTCTCTTCCTCTCTGAAACATACAACCCTGCACCCATCCAGTCCCCAAATTCACTTTGGTTTTCCTTTGGAACTTTAGAATCAGTCTACCTAGTTCTCACACCACAAAATCCTTTTGGCATTTTGTTGTTATCGTGTTTAAATGTGTAGATTAGTTGACACTTTTGAATATTAAGCCTTCTTTAATAATACTCATAATCACAATCCATATATGTTTTAATTTACTCAGGTCTTTCTGTTCTGCCCTCAAGTGTATTTCTGTGTTCTACATGTAGCTCTTGCATATTTTTTCATTGAGTTTATTCTTAGGTATTTTACCTTGTGTGTGTGTGTTAGTCACTTAATCGTGTCCACCTCTTTGCAACACCCCCCCACCCCCAGGCTACTCTGTCCATGGGGTTCTCCAGGCAAGAATACTAGAGTGGGTTGCCATTTCCTTCTCCAGGGTATCTTCCCAACCTAGGGATCGAACCCAAGTCTCCTGCATTGCAGGCAGATTCTTTACCATCTGAGCCAGCAGGGAAGCCCAAGGTATTTTGCCTTGGCTAGTCATTATTAGTGGCACTTTACATTATCTTAGTTCTGCTGTTTTCTGTACATAATGACCACTGAATACTTTTAATATGGCTGAAGCAGCCGCCTTGCTTTACAAAAGGGAGAGGAGAGCTTTGGAGCCTGTTTTTAAATGGGGAAGAGTTTGAATGTGGTGAGTCAGAGGTCACAGGAGGGACAAACTCGGGGTACGTTCATCAAAGCTCTGAAGCCCTTAAACATCCAGCAGGAAGTAAGGAGAACTGCTCTTTGAAGTTGTAAGAGAGCCTTGGGGCTGGGAGGGCAGCTACGGTCCCCAAGCCTCCAAAAGCAGAAACACTCTGATTTCAAGTGGTTGTCATCTCAATGTTTTGCCAATTGTGTGAAGAATGTACAGAACAGGTAAAAGCTTACATTTTCGAGGGGCTGTTCAAGGAGGGAGAAGTTCAGGAGATATTCAGTATCTGTCAGATTGTTGCATTTACAATTGTTTTAAAGGATAAGAGGTGAGAAGAACAGGTCAGCCAGAAACCCTTCTATCTGGTGGTGGCTCAAATGTCTCAGAGGTTGAGCCCTATAATATAAATGAATAAAGTCGACTGATAAGGTGTGCAGGAGCAGTGGAAAAACTCAGGAAAATATATCTAGGGGCTTCCCTGGTGGTCCAGTAGTTAAGAACCCACCTTGCAATGCAAGAGACACTGGGTTTGATCACTGGTCTGGAAGGATCCCACATGCTGCAGCTAAGCCCGGGTGCCACAGCTACTGAGCCCTTGTTCTAGAGCCTGGGAGCCGAAACTATTGAGCCCACTTGCAGCAACTACTGAAGCCCACACTCCTGCACCCTAGAGTGTGCAGGAGCAGTGGAAAAACTCAGGAAAATATATCTAGGGGCTTCCCTGGTGGTCCAGTGGTTAAGAACCCACCTTGCAATGCAAGAGACACTGGGTTTGATCACTGGTCTGGAAGGATCCCACATGCTGCAGCTAAGCCCGGGTGCCACAACTACTGAGCCCTTGTTCTAGAGCCTGGGAGCCGAAACTATTGAGCCCACTTGCAGCAACTACTGAAGCCCACACTCCTGCACCCTAGAGCCCCTGCTCTGCGACAAGAGAAGCCACTACAGTCAGAAGCCCTTGAACCACAATGAAAAGTAGCCCCTGCTAGACACAACTAGAGAAAGCTTGTGGGCAGCAACGAAGATCCACTGCAGCCAAAAGTAATGAAATAAATAAATCTTAAGGAAAATACATCTAAAGAGGGCAGCCAACTTCAGCATCATGTTGCCATGTAGAAAGGTATGTCAAATGTTAGATCTAATTTTACAGGAGAATTCAAACATCTGGCTTTTTATAGGAAATTATTTAATCTTCAATGCTGGCAACAAATCCCAATTGGGAGGAAGGGAGGAAGAGCAGAAAAATGATATAACTACACACAGGGCAAACAGAGGAATGATAGGGCCCAGGTTTGCCAATTTGTGATTTTTCCCTTATGCAGACTTGTTACTTCTTGTCTTCCCCCAGCAATTCAAGGTATTTTTAGGAACTTAACTTTAAGATATAGTCAGAACTAGATCAAATGAAATCAAAATTTCCATTGTTCTGCCAGTTCTTTAAATCTAGCCATACAGTTTTTATTGAGCACCTAACGTGTGCAAAGTCTATTATTACATCTTATTTAAAATGGAATATGTTAACAATTAATTACATGAAACAGAGATATGACTTCCATTCTGAGATGTGTGCTTACATTCTAGCTGTTTTTAAAAACACAATCAAACACAAAGAGAATTGTTTTTTAAAACCAACTTCTATAATTCACTTCTGAATTTGGAAGGTTAATGGGAAAGTTTCAGAATAACAGGCATCACTCTGTTTAAAAGCAATACTTCTAAAAGAATTCAGAGGCAAATCATCTGGAAAATCTTTTCACTGGAATCAATTTTGAGCTCCCATTGGCTTTGATCCCTACAGGGATCATCTATGACTGGAGACAGCACCCAAGTTCATACTAATTCCTAAAGAGAAAAAAAGTTGGTAATCTTGTCAGTCGAGTAGATGAGAAGACACTGAAAATTCAGTCTGGCTCAGGTTATCAATTGTAATATAAATGTGTTAAATAGTGTACATTGTATCCTGCTTCCCGCAGGAGTCACATCATTTTAGTCACTTTTTCCCACTTCCTTTTTTCAGCCTCTCTCTGTACCCATCTCTCTCCCCAGTGAACAGTTTTTGCACATTTAAGGTATGCCTACTTACGTCTGTTTCCACTCTTTCTTCTGCTTTTAATCAGGCTCGACTCAATACTTTTTAACTTCTCTGCTGTCTCGGGGACTGTCCACACCCTTTACACTCCCATCCCAAGCTCCCTACCCCCACCCCCACTCTAATCCCAGTCCCCTTCTAGAACCGGGACTCTTCCCCACTCTCCTGCATCTCCTGGCCTAGGATGCCCTTAGTTTTACCTCCCCGGCTGGGCATAGACCCACCTCCCCCGCCCCCTACCCTTCTTCCCCAGGCTTCCCCAGGCCCGCATCCTCAGCCATTCCAGAAACTGACAAAGAAGTTGCAGAGAGAGTGCCACTTCTCAGCACAGTAGGTGTCCGTGAGCTTCGCGTTCTCGTCCAGCCCGTCGGGATCAGGCCCGGTCCCCAGTGGTCGCTCCTCATCTGGGTCCCAGGCCGCCTTCCCCAGTGGTCGCTCCTCATCTGGGTCCCAGGCCGCCTTCCTCTTGCCCCCTTTGGGCTTCTGCTCAGAGGGCTTCCCTTTGGGCGGCGCGCTCGGGGGAGGCGGGGCCCCTGCCGCGGGGCCGAGCGCGGGCTCTCGGGGCTGCCCCCGGCTCCTGGCCCGGGGCTTGGGATCCCGGGTGAAGCCCGCCGCCGCCTTGGGGCTGACGACTGGGAATGCCTGGGGCACCAGGCGCAGCTCCGCGCCACGGCCCTTCTTGCCGGCGCACAGACGGGCCTTGAGCGGCGCGGGGTCGTGGCAGGGCCGCCGCTTCCTGCGCAGCCCGCCCAGCACCTGCTTCCAGTAGTGCGATCGGCGGGCGGCGTAAACGGCGCAGCGCCCCGGCTCTCCGCGGTAGGCGCACTGATGGCGCGCCCCGTCCGGGCTTTGGCAGCGCAGCGCCAGCTCGCTACCGGCTTCGGGCCCTGGGGCGGGCGGCAGGAGCTGCCAGCTGCACGTGTGCCGCTCGGGGCTGACAAAGCGGCCGGAGGAGCCGCCTGCGGAGCCCGAAGCCGGTTCGGCCGCGACGCCGGCCGCCTCCTGCTTTCTCCCGGCGGCCGCGAGGAGGCAGCCGCCCAGCAGCAGCAGAAGCGAGAGGGACGCTCGCCACCTCAGAAGACTCATGGCTTGAGGTGTCCGCGCTCAGGTCGGCTCTCCAGGGACCCCCTGGGCGCTTCAGCGGTAGCGGGGCCAGGAGAGCAGCATCCTTTGGTCCTGGGGACAGAGGCAGAGACGGCTACTGACAGAGGACAGGCATCTGCCAACCCGCCTCCCCAGACTCCCTGGGCGCTGGTTTCCAGGGGGCAGTAGCAGCTTGCGAAAGGCCCTTCTGAAGTTTTCCTGAGAAAAAGCCCATTACTGTCTAAACAATCTTTTTGAAACTATTTGCGCATTGAGGTTATCTCCCCAGTGCAAATACTATAGCAAAGCGACGCCTGGTAATTACGACTTCCCCCTCTACCCCCTCTCTTCACCCTCCAGTAATTATATACAGTATCGTTTCAAATTATTCTTTGGAAAAATGCACTTTTACTGCACTTTGAACTTACCGAATTCTGGGAGAGGTGGCAGGGCCTTATTAAGGTGGAGCGAATTACTGCGTGAAGGATTAGTCTGTTTTAGCCGACTCCCAGTGAATGAACGTGTTATCAATGGAACAGAAGGGGCCTCCCCCACTACGCCCCTCCCCAACTTCTCTTTCACTGGGAGATTTCCCATCACCGCGCCACACACACACACACACACACACACACGTATGATGGAAGTGATGCTATAACATGAAATATAAATCTCTTTTGATTCCAGGGTTTAATCACGCGAATTTTAACGTCATTCTTTTCTTTCCTCTTACTTTTTTTTTTCTTACTTGAACTGTATTTATTTTAATTGAATTATCGTTGATGTACAATACTGTGTTAGTTTCAGGTATACAACAACGTAACTCAGTTATACATATATAGCAATATTCCTTGTAAAAACTCTTTTCCATTATAGTTTATTACAAGAGATTGAATATAGTTCCCTGTGATCTGCAGTAAACCCTTGCTGTATATCTATTTCACATACAGTAGTGTGCATCTGTTAATCCCATACTTCCAACTTATCTCTCCCTCCAAATCAGTTGTTCTCAATACTCTTCTAAAAATAGGCATTCATAACTATATTTGCAGTAATGGAAAAAATGTTTGAATAGTGCTTCCTTCCCCTTTTAATAACAGCTTAATTTACCATTTTGCTGTGCTTAGTCACTCAGCTGTGTCCGACTTTTTGCCACCCCACGGACTGTAGCCTGCCAGGCTTCTCTGTCCATGGGGATTCTCCAGGCAAGAATGCTAGAGAGGGTTGCCATGCCCTCCTCCAGGAGATCGTCCCAACCCAGAGATCAAACCCAGGTCTCCCAAATTGCAGGCAGATTCTTTACTGTCTGAGCTCCCAGGGAAGCCCTTTTATACAGTTCACCCATTTAAAGTGTAAAATTCAATGGTTTTTAATATATTCACAGATATGTTCAACTATCACTACAGTTAATTTTGGAACATTTTTATGACCACAAAAAGCAACCCCGTACCCTTTAGCTACTATACCCCCTTCTCCTTTTACATGTTTAATCATTTGGAAATGAAAGTTGAAACAGAAATATCTGAGTTTTAAGAGTTAAATAAAATGAAATGAAGCAAAAACAACTGTAAATAGCCTAAACTGGGCACTATTTACACTCTGATTTTTATATCATTCTGAGTTCTTTATTTTCACCCACGATTTTGAATAATTTTTCTCATCCTAATAATATTAATCCTAGTAACTGTTACTACTCATAAAAATGTAATATCCTAGTTTATTGACTTATTATATTGTCCAGCATTTCACCCAGGGATGAGCATTGATCTTTTGATTAATTTTAGGTATTATAAATCAAACTTAACTTCTTACAGAAATTAGAAGTTTAAAAATTGTTATTATAGTATAATATTACCAATTCAAATGGTTAATCTTTAAGAGTTAATGTGTTCTTTTTTTTTTCTTTCTCCAATCTTTATTTTTTTAATTTATTGATTTTTTAATTGAAGGACAATTGCTTTATAGAATTTTGTTGTTTTCTGTCAAAGCTCAACATGAATCAGCTGTAGGTATACATATTAAGAATTAACATGTTCTTGAATCTTAAAAATATTTACATTTAAACAAAGCACCTTTTTCTACATTTCAGCATACTCCATTATCTTTTTAAAACTGTTCTCAGTAATACATGTGATATTTTTTAATTCAAGAGTTTATACCTCTGACTATAATTGTTTGATACAAGTAAATATTTTCCTAAAATACTCCTTCAGGAGGTCAAGAAGTCTCATTATACTTCCTAATGTCTTCTTGTGGACAGTATTTTCTGTTACTGAGCTCCCATTGGTATTATATTTCAACAGTTGCAATTTGATTACTACCATAAAAATCAGAATATTTTAGTATTAGAATTTATTTAAATATGATTTTGCACAAAGTAAACAGCCAATAGTGTATGTTGACCTAAGGAAGGACATTTCTACCACTCTGGTGAAATGAGAGAGATTAAAAGACTTACCCAATGTCACACATCATTTAGTGTTAAAGCCAGAAGCCACCTGACTTTACAAATGATCAAAGATCTTTACATTTCAGCTTTGCATTTCACTACTATCACTTGCAAAGTTAGTTAGGTCTTGATTTACACCAGTTCAACTTAAACTGAAAAACAATTAGTACCAATGAAGTTAAGCAATATTAATATAGATTTTATAAACAGTAGCTTATTAATCCATTTCACAGATGTAAAATGGATTCTCTTCCCCAGAAAACCTTGTTTGTATAAGCAAAGTACTATATACAGGCTTTTATCTGATGCTCTGGCATTACTTATAGTTACTGGCTACTGAACCAAATAGGAATAATTTTTCAGCTAAAGAGTGACATCTTGTGACATTTTTCACTAATTACAATGAAAAGTTTGTTACGGGAAAGTCCTCATTATTAAGGGAGATAGATATCTGAGACCACTCTTCCTGTCAGAAACATTGCCCCCAGAACAGAGGGGGCACACAGATGTGCTCTGCCATGTCAGAAAGGGGTTCAGTTCAGTTCAGTTCAGTTCAGTTGCTCAGTCATGTCCGACTGCGACCCCACGAATCGCAGCACGCCAGGCCTCCCTGTCCATCACCAACTCCCTGAGTTTACTCAAACTCATATCCATTGAGTCGGTGATGCCATCCGACCTTCTCATCCTCTGTCATAACTTGTAAATTGTCATTAAATACACAAAACACAAATTTTAACGATTTAAACCATTTTAAGTGTACAATTCAGTGACATTAGGTACATTCACACTGTTGTGCAACCATCACCACCATCCAGCTCCAGGACTTTTTTCTTCTTCCAAAACTGAAATTCTGTAGCCATTAAATGCTAACTCTTCACCCCTCCCTTTCTCCTCCCCCTGCAACCTTCATTCTACTTTCCGTCTCCATCAATTGACTACTCTAGGTACTTCATGCAAGTGGAATCACACAGCATTTGTCCTTTGGTTTGTTGGGTTTTGTTTTTTGGCTGTGCTGGGTCTTCGTTGTGGTGTGCGGGCTTCTCTAGTTGTGGCTCAGAGGCATTTGTCCTTTTGTGACTAGTATATTTTACTTAACCTAACTTCTTCAGGTTTCATCGATGTAGCATGTGTCAAAATTTCCTTCCTGAATTATATTCCATCGCATGTATAATCCCCATTGTGCTTATGCATTAGCTGATTAATCAACTGATGGACACTTTAGTTGCTTCCACCTTTTGGCTATTGTGAATAACGCTGCTATGAATATGTGTGTACAAATATTTGTTTGAGTTTCTGCTTTCAGTTCTTTTGGTCGTCTACCCGGAAGTGGAATTCCTGGACCAAATGTTAATTTTTTTTTTTTTAAGCTTTTTTAGGAAACTCTGCAGTGTTTCCTTTAGTGGCTGCACCATTTTACATTCCAACCAACAGGGCACAAGGGTCCCAATTTCTCAAAATCCTTTCCAATACTTGTTATTTACTTTTTTTTTGTTTGTTATCTTGTGTGTATTTGTATGTGTGTTTTATAATAGCCACTCTGCTAGGAGTGAAGTAATTTTAATTTACATTTCTCTGAAGATTAGTGATGTTGAGCATCTTTCCATGTGCTTGGCCATCTGTGTCTATCTTCTTTGTAGAAATGTCTATTCAAATCTCTTGTTTCTCAGTTAGATTATCTTTTGTTGTTATTGAATTGTAGGTGTTCCTTATATATTCTAGATATTAACCTCTTATAGATACATTATGCAAATATTTTCTCCCATTTTGTGGCTTGCATTTTTACTCTGCTCCTAGTGTCCTTTGATGCACAAAGGGGATTTTTAAGCAGATTGATCTCAAAACTATAATGTTGAGCAAATGAAACCAAACACAAAAGAGCCCATATTAAAAGTGAAAGTTGCTCAGTCGTGCCCGATTCTTTGTGACCCCATGGACTACACAGTCTATGGAATTCTCCAGGTCAGAATACTGGAGTGGGTAGCCTTTGCCTTCTCCAGGGGATCTTCCCAACCCAGGGATTGAACCCAGGTCTCCCGAATTGCAGGCAGATTCTTTACTGTCTGAGTCACCATATCTATTTTCAGTTCTGCATCTATATAAATTTCAAGAACAAGCAAAAGTAATCAATGGTGGAAAAAGATCAGAACAGGGCTGCCTCTAGGGCATGAGTGAGGCTTGTATTGACCAGGAAGGAATTAAAAAAAAAAAACTTATAGGGGTTATGGCAATATACTATATCTTGATAGAGGCTTGGGTTACATTTAAGATTTGTATATTTCATTGTATGAAAAATTTCCCAAAGAACAACCCCAAGCCTCTAAACAATTACTAAACCCAAGTTGTTGATATCCATACTGAAGTGTTTAGGGGTAAAGCAGCAGCATACTTATATTTGCAACTTATTTTCAAACATATAAAAAATTAATATGGATGATATGAATAGAAAGAAATGAGTCTTAGAGTTATATGATAAATCAAATATGGTAAAATATTAATTGTAGAATCTAGGTGGTAGTTATATGAGTGTTGACTGCATGATTTTCTTCAACTTTTCTGT